ACCTGGCGGCTCTGTGCGGGAGGGCAGGGGCAGAACCCACCCTCCTGGCCCTCTTACCGCTTCCACCTCTAACTTCCTGAAAACGGGGGGCTTAGACGCCGAGCACCCAGCTTCGGTTGGGGCATGCGGGCAGGCACTATGAAGAAGGTTCGGTGTTGCGGTGCACCGGGGAGTAAATCAGGAAGAAAAACGCTCCCTAAAATCTTAGCCCTGGATCAGACCTCCGAATACACACCCGACGACACCTGGCCCAAGTGGCTTCGACTACAGGGGTTCAAACAGTGCTTGTTGGAGAACCTACCCAACTGTGCTTCCTCCTCCATAGCTTGTTTCCTCTTAGAGGCTTCTTACTGGCAGGTGTAGGTGTCCCGATGGATGGCCTTCTCAGAGCTGGTGAGGACGCTGTCCCCTCCTCGCTGCTCACTGAGGTCTGATGAGGCTGCCAGTGCAGCTCACATCAGGATCGCTCCTAAGATGCGGGACCCGCTCCTACCCTTAGTCTGCAGGGGTCTGTAAGGGTCATTGGCTGAAGAGTGGGAGTGTTGAGCCGGGCCCCAGGGGACTGGCTGAAAAGGAGACAGTAGCTAATCTCTGGATTGTATCACAGCTTGAAATGCAGTCCCACTGTCCTTCCGGTCCAGAGGATTTGGACTTCTTTCTCTGCCCCATCTGTTGGTGCTCAGCAGCTTGGGGAGGTGACCGGGAAGCTGGTTTGGGGGGAAGAGGGGGGGCGAGTCTGGGGGGAATTAACCCTGCAGCTCTACCCAGGGCCTGGCTGATTACGTAAGAACTTCTAACCGCTTAAGGGGTGCCGGGTAAAGCCTGGCCCCTCCTGCCCCATAGGCTCCCTCTCTAGAATTGAGTCAGGTTTGGGCAACCCCATCCTTCCTCCTATCCTAGAAATCTTAACTACTGGGGCTCAGGGTCTGGGGTGATACAGAGAGGCCACAGGATGTGAGGGAGTGGGCTGGAGCACCGGGGCTTGATGGAGGCAGTGACCTGACTAGAGCAGGTATTGAAACGTCTATCAGAGCTCAGACCAGGCCCCCCTAGGAGCACCCCTTCTCTGCCCCGAGGGCCATCCCCACCCCACTCCAGGCTCCAAAGAGCCTGTGTAAAACCTGAGCCCCTGGCAGGTGGTGTAATGAGATTCAAAACCTGCTGGCTAGACCTCCACCTGCTGCCGCTGGCTGAGAGCTGTGGGAAGAGGACAGGGTTCCACGAGAAGCCCTGGGTTTGAGGTCAGGGTTATTGCTCTCTGGCTTGTTTTGGGGTAGCCATGTCTCCTGTCCCAGCTTAGCAATGCCAGTGTTGTATTGCCCCCACCCCCCACAACTCACCCTAAAAATGTTTTGAAATCTTGCCCATTCAAACAGCCCAGGCCAGATAAAGACCTCAGGGCTGCCTGCATGGATCTTGGTGCCCAGCTAGGACACCAGTCCCTCCCCGCCACCCCGAGGAAAGGACTGGAAAGGACGTAGGCCCGCTATCCGGCCCTGCTCCTTCACAGCTGCTAGGTGGGGAGTCTCAGGGGACCAACAGCCCTTCCTTGGCTGAGGAGGCCCACTGGTTGCCTGGTGTCTCCTCCCCATGGAGGAAGCAGCTAGGGGAGATCAGGAAGAGGGTGGAGGGAGGAGGGAGGGGGAGAGGGGAGGTGGATTAACAGTCTCTGGAAAAGGACAGCCTAACCCAGGGCTGAGCCCAGCAGCTTAGAGTAATGAGGAGCCCTGACACAGGTCAAAGCAAGAGGGGGTGTGGGGCAACAGGAGAAGGGGAGTAGGGCTGTGCGGTCTGTTGTCACCAGGAAAGGGACCCTCCTCACAACTCAGTCCATCATTCTCCTCCCCTGGACAGAGCTGTAGATTGGGACACATGTCACTAGAGATGGCAGAGCCCAGCTGCTATCCTGGACTCCAGCCTGGTGGAACCCTAAACAGTACCCTAGCCACTTCTGACCCATGCTTAGGGGATAGTGACCCAGGGCAGGTTCCCTCGAAACCCAGAGCGATCACATGGACAGCCTGTGCTCTCTGCCTGCAGTGCCATTACCCAGGCTGCCATTACTCTGAATGGCCAGGGTGCTGTCTTTGCCTGGTCTCACTACTCTGCTTCCAGGTGACCACTAACAGGTCCTAGTGCTGGTCCCCTCAGGGTAACCCCCTTCCCCGTAAGGCACATGTCCTCTAGATGAGTTTATAAGAGCTGAGAAATCGGAAGTGCTCCCAGGGCGACCATGGCAAGCCTCAGCAGAGAACCCCAGCAAGCGGGCTTTCTTCCTGCCCATGCCAGAGGGCCTTCAGAGGCCCCCAACAGGAACTCTCCTTGGGGCTCCACTGGCGGGGAGGGTCTGTGATGTTCCAGTCCTTCACAGGAAGAGGAAAGAGGACGCTGTGGAAATCTGTGAGCTCCTCCAGGACTCCCAGCCTCATTGCCCTAGCTCTGTGGGAGGCCTCCCCTCCCCTCTGCACACAGATGGAACAGTCTGTGTTTTCCTGGTAGGGTCCCGGGGGAGGGGGGGCGGGAGGGGTGTCACTGGGGGGAGGCTGGGCATCTCAGGGAGACTCCCCTGGGCCTGGCTGTCACCACACTGCTGAGAGGTAAACAAACCCAGACTCCCAGAGTTGGGGAGGAATGGGGAGAGCACTACAGACAGCCACCTTGCCAGGGAGAGGACTGTGTCCCTGCCCAGCCTTTCTCTCACCTCACCAAGAAGTGAGCTGTGGGGACCACAGGAAGAGAAGGGGGGGACCAGGCGGTTTGGGTGGGGGAATCTACTCTCTAGCTTTGCTCAGGAAGTAGCATTAACAGTGCTGGTCACCCAATAGGAAAGGGTCTTCCCCCTGCCACACCATCTCCCCCCATGTGAACTAATTTGCTGCCAAATCTTTCTGCCCCCAAGTAGGAATCTGGATCTTACTGGACCCATAGGACCTCCAAACTTCTGCTTCGGCTAATTCTCAAAACTTCTCTAGCCTTTGTCCCAATTTGTATGCATCCCTACCTGCCTAAGGCAGGCCTGTGATCCTCTCTTCTTCCCACCACACTACCCTCCCAAATGAAAACAAACTTCTCCCTCTGGTATCCCTACCACGTTCCGAGCTTTGGACAGGAATCAGAGGCAGTACCCCCCACCCTTTTGCTTTCTGAACTGTGGGTTTTGCATCTGTAAAGTGGGGACACCTAATAATTGGCAATTTAATAGATTGTAGAGTGAATGTGCTCGTTGATGAAAAATGCCTTGTAAACTGCAGAGGGCTTCAAGGCCCCTCAAAGATCAGGGAGTGACATTGTAAGAATGCCCTCCCTCTAGGAATGAGGTCGGGATTGGGGGAGGTGGGATTTGAGGGAAGGTGCATCCTCAAACTCCTATGTGTTCGGGAGCTGTTGGCCCCGACAGGACTCCGGACTCCTGGTCACAGTTTGGGCCTTAGCCTTGGAAAGTCAAACCGTGTTAGAGGTCCCTGGGGGTGTGGAGGAGGCCAGGGGAGACCCGTGCCGGTGGAGGCCCGGTGGACAGGTCGGGATTGGGGGAGGTGGGATTTGAGGGAAGGTGCATCCTCAAACTCCTATGTGTTCGGGAGCTGTTGGCCCCGACAGGACTCCGGACTCCTGGTCACAGTTTGGGCCTTAGCCTTGGAAAGTCAAACCGTGTTAGAGGTCCCTGGGGGTGTGGAGGAGGCCAGGGGAGACCCGTGCCGGTGGAGGCCCGGTGGACTGGGGTGGGCCAGGCAGCGAGCGAGCCTGGGGGCGCGC